GGGCAAAATTCATAACAAACAAACAATCACTCATCCCACTTTGCAGTAAATACCCATCCTAAAATGACATTCTTAGGAGCAGTCTGCAAAATGGTAAGATGTATGGGCCATTTACAATGGGGAAGAGGAGCAGAAAATGATGTTGCCAAAACAATTTTAGTTAAATGAAGAATTCTGCCAATTATAAACTGCTGTTCTGGACTCTTGCAAAAACCTGGGAAATCATTCAGAAAACCACCGTCATCTTGGAAGATCTGCTATTGGAAATAAGGTGAGTGAGGTTGTGTCTAAACTAAAAAGTTAGACTTTGTAAGTATTATTAATCTGTGTATATTGTTTTTGTCATTTATTTCTGTTCAAATATATATGTATTTAAGTTACTTATAATTTTTTAATTTGTTTTGTTTTACATGTAAAGGATTTTCTTTTTAATGTAAGAAAAATATACATTTTATTATTATTAATGTACATGTATTATTTTCAGATTTTGTTTTATGTATGTATTTTTGCTCATTATATACTGGACATTTTAAAGGTTTTTATTCATTCTTTCTTTTCCTTATTTTGGCTCTGAGTTCACTCTCTCTAGTCACATGTAAATACATATATATGTGCTTCTAAGTGTTATCTTTTATTCTCAAGGGTTGGGTTGATTCTTTGTTTTAATTTGATATTAAAGTTTTTTTTATTTAATTCTGCTCATTTCCAGAGTTTTTAAGAGATTTACTTTGTATTACAGTGTTATAATAGAGCACATTTTGTGTTGTTATGTTTATGCAAACATATATTATTTGAATAAGTTAATATTTTATCTTTCAGGATGTAAATATTTGTTTTTGTTAAAAGGTGTATTTTTTGTTTTTAGGTGTGTTATATATCCTATTTAACATCAAATGGCTTATTTTGAATTGTGACTGGAATTATTGTTAAAGCATATTTATGCTTATGTATCAGTGTTAAAATGTCAATTTGTTTTGTAATATTGCTCTTTTGTTTTATGGTTGTCACTTGATTGTTAAAAGGTATTTTGCCATTATAATTATGGTATCCTTATTAAGGGGCATTTATTTTATGATGTGTTCATTGAATTGTGTTTTCTATTTTGCAGTGTGTTTTACAAGGACAAGAGAAAGTTGCACTGCTTTTCAACTAATATGTAGGTTAAGTTAATTGGTTTTAAATTTTAAAATTAGGGATGGCCTTGAAAGTAAATGAGGGAGGAAAAGTGTGGTATGCAGCTGTACCACATGTTTTCTACCTTTTGTTTTAATTTAGGAATTTTCCATTTACTCCTGTACATGCAGTTTTAACATGAAATGCAGTCAAGAAAGTCAGTAAGTTCCTTTTGCTCTAGCTACCAATTATTCTGAGACATTCACCTAAGGCATCACATTTTTCTTCCCGTGGGAAAGGTTTCTGTAAAATTGTATATACTGTGTGTGAAAGCAGACAGTAATCTTTTTCACTGGCAGGTGAGGTGATATCTCGAGGATATAATCTCCCTTATATTTCATTAGGAAGGACTAATGATTATGAGGGTAGTGTACATGCCTTGAGAGAACTAGCATTGTTATATTTTCTTGACGTGGAACATGTTTTAACAACTTGAACCATTTCTTTAGAGATAAACAGAGAGCTCTTTAGTAAAGGCACTGTCCTTTGTTCTACACACCTGTTATTATGTGTTTTTGAATAAAGGTTGTTTCATCATATCCAGTCTCTTTCTTTCTCAAACTCAGTCAGAATTAGAATATATGATATATTTTGTGATCAAACCTCCTGTTATTCTGTGGAGCCTATCTTCTCACTCTTTAAGGATATTAGTGCATCCGAGAATATGTCTCCCATCCTAGACATTATGAATGAGCGAAGAGTCTGATGATTGTGGTAATTTTGAAGACAGACCCGTACACATGTGTAAAAAAAAAATTAATCACAATCATGTGTTTATTTGCTTATTCTGAATTGATATTCTGTTGCCATTGCCACACATCTCTCTCCGTCGATCAAATTCCTGGAAAGTTTGTGTTACTCTGCTCACAGTAGAAAGTTTACCAGTGTCTTATGTATGCTACAAAACAATGAGACATTTGATAAGATTTGCTGGTCTGTTGGAAATAATTCATTAGCATTATGTGGGTGTGCTTTCAGTCAAATGATTGTTCTAAGAAACAGTCAAGTAAAGCATCTTGTATCCACATCTGATCCTTGGTATTGAGAAATTTGCTTCATTATTATTATTAGTAGTACGAACTTCATTTGGTTGTATGGTGTTATCAGTGAATCTTTTCAAGTTCGTTAATGGTCCCAATTTTATTGTGCGTTAAATTGTTGGCAAAACCTTCTCCATTCAACTCTACACTGTTCATAAGATTTTCATCTTGTTATGCAGTGCTATCTTGACAAATGGTCACAAATATTTGTTGTTTCTACTTAGCAAAAAGTTATGGAAGTTTATGTTCACCTTGGATGTCTGTCCATAATTACGTTAAAGTTAACAGGACACGTCAAAATTTAAAATTATTTTTTCATTTTCTTGTTATAATAATCAGAGATGGGTTATTATTTCGATTAAGTAATAACCTAAGACACAAATACACTCATTAGTTATGATTAATCGAAATTATGATTAAATCAATTAATGTCCCTAAAATAGTCAACTAGTTTCTGATTTCTTTACTGTTTTTGATTATTCTCACGAAAATAATAGACTAATCAAAAGCAGTATTTTCAATTATTCAGTAATCAAAATATTGCCATTATGTTTGTTTCTTGTTAAACACAAAGCTACACAATGTGCTTTGCCCACAACAGGTATCGAAACACGATGTTTAGCAGTGCAAGCTTTTTTTTGGTTGTCTCACATGAGAATATTTTGTTTTTTTAACCCTCTTACGTGAGCTCTAATAAAGATCACTATTTTTTGTTCTATACTGAACACTACATTGCAACCCCTGGTCCATATAAGTGCAAACTTGTCTGTATCTTCAGAATGTCAATTATGCTAGCTAAATCAATCCCCTTATTTGATATGACACCTACAGAGCTAACATTTATTATTTAATGGCTTGATGGTTTCTATAACATTCCCCTAATACGGTGTTGACCAAAATAAATACATGCGTACATACGTATAATACTTTTATTTTCGTGCTTCTACAAGTAATGTTTACAGTGCCAAAACAAGCCAACGATGCTGGTAATTTTCAATCAAAAAAGTTTATTTACACTCATGATGCATAATAAATTACATCCTTAGTCTTCACCGGGAAATAATATTTAAAACACAATTAATCATGTTTTCAAAATTGGACAAACACGAGTATCTTTTCTTACAAACTGGCTGTTAATATATTAAATCTTTTTTTTTTGACTGACTCAAAAAATATCTTCTGTATTTAAAATCAACTGTTTTATCTGAACAGATTTAAAAAATTGCTTCATAAATTTTCTATTAAATGAATACTAAAATACATTATAAGTTGGATTTAAAATTTTACTTTATGATAACTAACAACACTAAGCAACAAACTGTCTTTTTTAAACAATGTGTAATAACAATAGTATAAGCATCAATGATAGAAAGCTTCTTTTTGTCTTGAAAATTATGACTTAACTATGTATTAAATATTGTACTTTAGATACATTATCTAGTTATACTTTCACAACTCCCCTAAACCTACGTTATTACTATAGTTTTAATATAACTTATGCTATAATAATATTTTCATAACTAATTGGACTATTTGTTACTCTGGGGTCTTAACAATACTGCTGTTATTTTGAAATTACTCAATATTGCCAGTAATCTCATCAGGGAGGTAAAAAAAAACTAATGGTTGTGAAAGCTGATACAGCTGCTAGAACAAGAATACATACATAGTAAATTGTTAAAATTCTCCATACAAAATAGTTACCTAAACTTTATGTTGAGATGGTAGCTACAGGGTAAATAACAAACAAATTTTGATATTTATTACCCTATGACATAGAATCTAATGATGTTAGAAGAACACAAATAATAGTGACATAAATTATACCATAAAAACAAACAAGCTTAAATTCTTATAGAAAAGTCTGGTGCATTCTAATGATAAAATAATCTATGTCATCTAAATATATTCCTGTAAAAGGCTTAATACATACACCACTAAGTGCACATTAAAGATTTAGAGGTGTATCCATTCATTTTGTACATAAATTGAATTCATACAAAAAAAAAAGTTAAGATAACTTCAACAAAGGGAGGTTTAAATTCTACTTGTTAAAAACACAAAAAACGGCTGATGTTCCTAAGTTAATTTTGCTACTAAATGCCAGTTTGTTATTTTACAAAAATTGCTACCTGTGCATGCCCTAATCCTTCTTAACTTAACGATGAAATTGGAACATATCTCTTTATAATTCTCAACATAAAATATATAAATATGACGATGTGACTACTGATATATTTTTTTTTTGTTAGATTTAGTTAGGTACTGAAAATTTCAACAAATTTATTTACATAAAAGATATTAGTTTAAAATAATTAAAAAGAACACACGTACAAAATCTGTTGAAACAAAACATATCTGCTTAAGGCAGACTGATGAGCATTCTAAACTGTACGATACCACTATTTGATAACGGCTCACTTAAATATTTTATTCTTAACCACGATTTTTAGCAATTGTTTCAACAGATAATGTAGGCCACAATGTACCAATTTTATAAACCTTGTTTTTGTAAAACTTTGTACTAACAAATTCCCACCGAACATTATCAGGCTATATACATCTGATCATAGTTTCAGCTATATCTTGCAACATGGGTCATTATACTTATGGTACAGCTATGAAGGCTATTTGCTGTCATCCCTAATTTTGAGCTGACGTTGTTTGTTGAATTTCGTGTAAAGCTAATCGCAGGCTACCAGTACTACAGTAGAAGGAAGGCAAATAGTCAACACCAACCACTGCCAACTCTTGGCTGCTAATCAACTAGTGGGATTTGACCTACACTTCTGTAACATACCCATGGCCCTACAGTGCAAAGCTTGGTTTCTATTTATGGCAGAGATGAGCTACGAACCATGGAACCTCAGATCCACGGTTCAGCACGCTAACCACTAGGACACACGTGTGCCCTTTGAATTACTCCCACAGGTAAGATAACCAGTCATCAGCACTCTATCACACACACACACCCTCTCGTGCTGAAGGATTGATGTCATTCATATTACAAATTAAAATGTGTAGAATATTTTATGGTATCTGACTTATCTAGACTTGTGACTCACCTGTGGACTTTTACTAATACAATCAAATTAATTTTCTCAGTAAATTAATGTAACACTTCAGGTTACAATACAAATGAGGCATATAATCAAATTGAAAAAAAAAAGTATTTGTTGACACATTCTAGTTCCTCTAATTACAAGTTAATGATTTTTTTCTTATTCAAAAGTTAAAATTCTTATTTATATATATATATTAAACTTCACAATTTCTTCCATTACAGATAGTCCCTTAATATTAAGTAACTTTGGAAAAATTGTAAAAAAAATCCAAGTAAAATTCTTACCAGCATATTTAAAAATGTTTAATTATAAAAACAACAACAACTAAACTGCTAAATAATTTCCTAATTAAAAAAATTATAAATTATAATTAAAATCATTAATGTTGGGGCTGCTAGTTTAATGGGGAAGGAGGCATTCATCATTTTCACTAGTGCACAAAATATGCACTTTATGATCCCCACTCCTCTTTAAATTTAAAAGTACACACATAAAATAAAGTTTTTTTTTAAATAGGTACTATCAGACGTTAATTATAAATAGGAAACAAACAATAAGTGTTTGAAACCACAAAATTTGACAAAGTTTTGTAATTTGTTGAGGGGAAATAATGTCTTTTTTTTTTTTATGAAGTACACAAGCTATACCCCTAACATATATTTTGTATGCTTATGAAAATGTCACAACTTGCGACTGACCCCTTAAGCCTATGAACAATAAAACTGTTTAACTGAATTGTAACTTGAGTAAAAAAACAAAACATTGAATGAAAAAAAGTTGTGTATAGTTATCTTTCATAAAATTTTTAATTGGAAAAACAGTGGTTCTGTGCTATGAATCTAAACTTAAGCTTTAAATTGAGAAGAATATTTTATTGTAATATGAGTTATGTAAAACAAATATTTTTTCAAGTGACCTTCATGAAAGATACCACAACATTATAAGACTAAGACTACGATTTACAAATATTCTCAACAAATTATTACTTGAACAATAAAATTCTTCCTGTTAAACACTCATGGTATACAATATGTTAATACATAGGGAAAACATGTTCCTGTAATGCACATAGCTACAGTAAGAACCCGCTTAGTGCCACCCTGCTTTAAGCTGATCTGTTATAGAGCTCGTCTCCACGAAAGATTATATTTTTTCATGAGTGAGAAAAAAAAAATTATGAAAATCCATAATTGTCTGAACACTACTTTTTCATACTAATGGTTGTAGTGCACTAAATAATTTTTATTTAATAAAATAATGCAACAAAGAATGTAGAATAATAACATGCAAAGAGCAGACAATGTTCCGTAACTGTCACAATTTTTCTTGCATTATTAGCGATGCTACATCCATCTACACAATATCGTTCCTGTGGGAAAAAACATTTTCTTAGGAAGCGATCTACAAATCTCTGTACAGAAAACAACATAATATAATACGTCACATGACAGACAAAAACCTTGCCTGTCTATTGGTTATAACTAATATAGTCGTAAACGTAAGAGAGAACTACATGTATTGACAAATCCTGAAAGACAGAATGTGGCACGAGGGGGCTGATTTCCTATTTGATGGTTCTGTAACCAAATAAGATTGAAGGCTAACAAAAATTTGATTTTTTCCAGGGATGACAGTATTATAGTGAGTAATTTACATTAAACTTCATACATATTAGAAGGGTGATGAATGAATAGAGAAGAGGGGATGTTTAGAGAAACAATGTCACTATTCTCATACTACCAGAAATTCAGGATGATGCAGCACTCATGTTCTTCATTATAAAGAGCCAAATGATGTCCAGTGCCTCTGACTACCCACTGCCTTCCACCCTGGGGTCAGCACCAGTTCGTGAATAGATGCCAGTTTAATGTGTTTCTTTGTTTTTTTAAGTGTTCTTTTACTTTAATAAATAATACTGTACTGGAGCAATCTGTGTTTACCAGTACCTAAATAAAGCACTTATACATAAATCACAGGTAAAAAACAATGCCTTTAGTTACATATCTCCATATATGTGATGTTAAAATGACCCTGTTAACAGCTAATTCGTTTAGAGCTCTTACTGAGTGCTAAACGGGGTATTACTGTATACATATAAATGTCTAATGTATAAAAGTTCAGGTAGCCTTCGTTCTTCACGTGTCAGTTAAGCATCTTCTCACTTTTCTTCTGCAATGCATTGCAAAGCCTGTTGTAGTTCCTCTTGTACTTCCTTAAAATCAGGGGCATCAAATATTACCCATGATTCATCTGTGCTTTCCAACTTCTCTCTGCACAATGGGCACGTGTTGTGTGAAACGTTCCTGTAGAAAATTACACAACAATCATCATAAAGTCATTATAATAGTTATTTTGATGACTAAACCTAGGGGGAGGTCCTGAAATGGTGATGCAAGAGATGATAGCATCTAAAAATAAAGTGAATCTATATTATTATTATTATTGTGTGCTAATTTTAGTCTTCTGTTTCATTATGCCACTTTTTGAATTTTGGCAAGTTAATAATATTTTATTATTGAAATATCATATTTAGGACTAATAATGATTGGAGACGGCTTGAATGGGTAATGAAGAAAAACTTTAACACAACAGCAAATGTACAACGTTTCGACAAGGTTTTGTCATCATCAGGTACGTGTACATTTTCAGGACAGAAAAAACTCTATTATTATACTAGATAATGATAGAAAATGTATGCTTTTCAGGCCTTAATATAACTGATGTTGATGTTTTATGACAAAGCTACACAAACAGTCTATCTACGCTGTTTCCATCATGGAGATCGAACAATGAATTCTCAATTAAAGCCCTGAAGCTTACTGCTGGGCCAAGAAGAACTTTTAGTCTACATTTAAATATATATCTGAAATAAGACTGTTAAAGATGCTCTTTATAGAATATAAAATGCCAGTTTTTTTTGCATTAACTGACTTCATTTTTACAAAATTCTTTAAATTTTTTTTATACTTACAAATATTTGTTCCCAAGTACAAAATACCAGTAAAAATGACACATTTTTTTATTCATAAAATCTGAAATTTTTTTTAAGGAGGATTTGGAAAATAAATACAGTTTTGTTGTTTCTCCATAAATGTCCTTGTTTTTTATTGAAGCAGTCTTCTGACTACTGTATAAATTTACATTTTTAATTTTCATATGACGTAATTAAAAATTTTTATTTTATGTTTTATATATACATATATATATAAAACAATATAGTGCTATCTGCACACTGCCCCTAATTTTGAACTGATAGACCAGAGGGAAGGCAGATAGTCAATACCACCCACTGCCAGCTCTTGGACTATTCTAATGGAATAGTGGGATTTGACTGGCCCTCTTATAGTACACCCACAAAGTGTGGGATGCAATGTTTTGTTATAGCAACAAGACATGAATCATGGACGCTATAATCCACCATTCAGCACGCTAATGACTAGGCTACACCAAGCCTATATTTTTGAATTTTAATGCAGAGAAACGAACAAAAACCATCAGTTTCTTAAAATCAAAGTCCGGCAAAAAAAAAAAAATGGTCAAATAGTAAAAGAGAAAATAGGTTCAGAAGAATCTTAATAACTATTTGATATTTTTCTAATAGAAGCAGTAAAAACATTGAATTTCTTTCAGCCTATCAATAATGTTTTGTTTTCCTACCATCAACCATATAGAAGTTTACAATACAGACAAAATGGGCCTCAAGTCTGGAATGTAAGAGAGTCCTTTTTACTACGATCATACAATAAAAGAGCTTTATATAATATGAAACCATAAAATTAACTGGTAAAACTATGAAAGTAAAATAATATCTGCCTGCTGTAAGAATATAAATAATACAAGTGCTGAAAAAAATCCAGAATATTAAGTATTAAAACTGTGCTACCATGATGGGGAAAAAATAGAGTAGAATACTGAGATATATATCAAAATCAAATAATACATGATTGATTAATAACTTATTTACAGAAAAGTTGGAGTATATATATATATATATAGTACATTTACACTCAGTTTATCTTTTCCAGAATTGATTCTGCAATAAAACTGAGAACATATTATATAGCTTTTTGTATTTAATTTATTGTTTTCAAAAATCTATATGTACTTCTGACAATTTTTAAAATACAAAAGACAACGAAAAACAAAGCTAAAATAAAACTAATATATAGATATATAGTGTACAGTAAATACATGTAAACATCTGACAAAGTTTGAACTCACTCCTTATTTTTTTTTGGAATCTCCAACAGATGCTCTTCAGTATTATTTCAGAGAAACTTTTTCTTTATAATTAATAATAAGTCTACTAATTTTTTTTATAGACTAAAATAATTTACCATTCCTCTATACATTTCATACAGTAACTATGATCACAGGGTAATGTAGTCTCTGGTTAACTTACCATTCATCTATACATTTCATACAGTAACTATGAGTACAGGATAATGTAGTCTCTGGTTAACTTACCATTCCTCTATACATTTCATACAGTAACTATGAGCACAGGGTAATGTAGTCTCTGGTTAACTTACCATTCCTCTATACATTTCATACAGTAACTATGAGCACAGGGTAACGTAGTC